GGTGAAAACGAATGACAGCTCTCACGTGAAATCCGCGCAAAATGCTGTTTTCATGATCAAGTTGCTTGCGCAGATTTTAGGACAAGAAAGTCCCGAATTGTTTGTTGAGGTGAGGAATTTTTTTTTATTGGGACTGCTTTGTTCTGGTGACTTCTTTGATTCGTGGGAAAAAGAGAAAATATTGATTCCAGGGGCAGCAGGAAAAGTTCTCGCTTCATGTTTCAATTTTGCTCGCATTATTTTGGAAGAATGCAATCTTCTTAATTTTTATTCAATTGATGTTCAAAGAAAATGCGAAGGAAGACGGTAAATACTTTCAAAAATCAATTTCTGTAAAAGTTGCGTGCGGAACTGTGACTGGAAAGCGAAATTCTGTCATTGCTATTTTCAATTCAAGTTGTCGCTTATTTACAAGAATAATTGTTCTTCTTTTTCAAGTACAGTACATTTATTGGGACAGATTACTGTGCTCTTCAAATGTGTCATTTCCCACGCGTGCTGAATTAAGAAAAAACGCGATAATTCAAGATTGATTAGCTTTTAGGAAGTCTCTGATTTTGCGGAATTACTTGAATCGATGCTCAGCAATTCCGATTAGATTTTTAAAAAGTGTTCCAAAAGGTCCACGGGCTAATGAACAGGTTGCAAGAGTGGTTTGACCTTAGAAACTCTCCTCTGCAAAGAGGAGACTAGCCTATACAAAACTAACGGCAGCCGCCTTAGCATAGATGCCAAGTAGTGCGAGCGCTACGCGTCTTGAACAAGCTCATCGCCCCGATAGTCAAAATCATGAGTGACGAAAACGAGATGAACACGTGAGCGAAAACGCTGATTTCTATTTTTTTCTTTTTCGTGGCACCAATGTCAATGTTTGAAATTTAATTTTCAGTTCGGCTCTGTTGTGCGGATCAGCGATGACGGCCATGCAAGCCATCATGGACAAGCATCCGAAATTCATTGCTGGTGACAGACTCGCTAGCGTCATTTATGCCGTCGGGAGAATTTCTTCCTTGCCGGATTATGAACGTCAAACTGGGGACTCCATTGTTTGGTCAAAAATCAACCAGATCAAGTTAGTTTTATCCGCGATATATCGACAGAACGTCCGCCTAAAAAATGGTCATCTTGAGTTGAAAATATTAATAATTTAATATGACCAATTTTATATTTTCCATTTACGTAATATCCAAAAATCTCGTGTGACTGATTTTCCCGCAATTCAGATTTTATTTTTTGGTTGCTGAAATTTCACGTGTGCATCATATGACGCAATGAGGATTTTTCTTCCGAATATTCACAAAATTAAGGTAAAAATTGCTAAATCAGTTTCATTGAGAATTTAGTATCGTAAAAAAATGGTACACTACTATACTGTAGCTTATGAGAGTGTTTTATTCTACTCGATTTTCAGATTCAATCGTCAGGAGAAAATTGTACATGAAAAGAACATAATTTTCAACTTTTGAAATTTCCAAGCGCGTCACCTGTTTTGCGTTATATTTGTGTTTGGCTCGTTGTTTTGCTGCATTTAAAATCGTGCGCTGCAGTCAAAGCTTGACACGTTTTGATCATTGGCGTAGTATCTTACTGAGGCTTACTGGAGCAGCACCGAATCGCTTGACTCGTTTAATACGGTACTTCGTGTACGAACTCACTTGAATTATTTCAAAACAAAGTAATTTCAAGGAAATGATACACTGCAAAATATACGTTGTCCCCAATCCCGTAAATTGAAAACCTCCTGTGAAATCTCTCAAGATGGGTTCTGACTTTTGACTGAGGTAAATTCAAGCGAAGCTAATTTTATTTTTCTGAGGGTTTCTCACAGCATTGAACATGCTTTGAATTGCATGAGCACATTTTAATTGGTGTTTATAATTCGTTATTTTAAGGAAAGTTTTGGCGACGGCAATAGAATCACGAGTGTTGTGTCCCGCTATCTTGTCGGCCTATCGGAAAGCATGCAAGGATGTCGCTGCGGGAAAGTCGAATCCGACACAGTGTAGAAGCGGACCAGTGGTGGAGTTTTTAATGTCGATTGTGGAAGCTCATTTCACAGTGATTGACCGCAAAGCAGTTGGAGTCCTTGTTCGAGAAGTCGAGTCGATGTTCATTGAGGTACAGTACGTTGTAATTTTCCTATAGTGAGACAATTTAGTATGTTTTTCATCTTGAAATGCTAGCCAAATATCACGTTTTGTGTTGAATTTTCTTGTTGTTGCTCGGGTAAGCCCGGGTGCAGTTTCAAACCAGGTATTCTGCAGAAGGGTCCAGAAAATGTACCAATCTTTTAACGAACGATCACGAAGTGGTTCCCGCGTTACGAAAGACCCGTACGACGAAATTTTCGACTTTAAACATTTTGCCTGGGGTATCAAGTGGTTCACGTGCAAATTTTCAGTCTAAAAATGTTCCCACTTGAGTAACTTCTGGTCGAAAACCATGGAATGTTTCGGAAAATTGAGGAAACGGAAGTTGGGGGCGCAAACTGTTCAGGCGTACTTCAAATTACTGTAATATTAAAAATTTTTAAATTGACAATGTTCTGCTGAAAAATGTGAAATAAACTTGGATTATTCGGTGAGTGCCAGAAAAAATTTGAATAATTTAAAGTGCAACCTTATTGGGGTTTACATGTTGGAATCTTTTTAAATTTTGAATAATGAGAGGACCCTCTAAACCATATAAGCTAAGCTTTTGCTTATGAGCCAAAAAATCACCATGTCATGGTGTTAAATTGAGAATTGCTATTAATTTTAAAAATTTGATAGGTCAGGATGAATTCAATTTGTTTCATGACTCCAAAATTTACGAATTTCAAAGATAAGGAATGACAAAAATATAGGCTTTTTTCATCAATTTTTGGAAAAAGTTTAAAGATTTTTCTCGAAATTTTCCAAAATTAGAGCAATTATTGGCCATATAATTATGTTGCGTGAGTCACTTTTTAGTCGAAGATTATGTTTGACCACACTTTTGTTGTATGGTTTTTTTTTTCAAGCAGGGACGAACTCTACAGTGGCTTTCGCAGTCATTTGAAATTCAAGTGGCAAAATTTCCTTTTTCGAGGGCAAAGGTCAAAATTTGAAATTTCTCATTTTTGATTTCTTGCATCTAAAATGTCTTAGAATACCTGGATTGTTCACAGATGTACAATGATTATGTTTGAGGGAAAGCGGTGTAACTCTTTGCCTGGAGCTTTTCAAATTTTTTAATTATCTCAAAAGCGTTTGATCTTTTTTTCAGTTCTTCGACTACAGACGATTGTTCGTGAAGGACTATAGGAAACCGAAAGAATATGCGACTGTGGACTTGAATGTTAGCAGGACAGAAGATTCTATCGTGAAAGCGTTCCTGGCTCCCATTATGAAGCTTTCCGCTGAAGGATTTGCTCCTGTGTTCTACAAG